GGGATCGTCCTCTTGGAATTCAGCCCAATATTGACCCTGTCCTTTAACCCCCCACTGACCTCACCTGGGCTGACCCCTGACCTCTGACCCCTGACCCCCCCAGGCTCATCAACAAGCTGCAGCCGGGCTCGGTGCCGAAGGTGAACGAGCCCGTCCAGAACTGGCACAAGGTGAGGAGGGGGGACCCCAAAATCAGGAGGGGGGTGTGGGGGGGGGTCTGGGAGCAGGTCCAGCTCCAGGACCCGCCCCCCAAACCCCCCCGGCCCCGTTCCCAGCTGGAGAACATCGGGAATTTCCTGCGGGCCATCACACGCTACGGGGTGAAGCCCCACGACATCTTCGAGGCCAACGACCTCTTCGAGAACACCAACCACACGCAGGTCCAGTCCACCCTCATCGCCCTCGCCAGCCAGGTGACCCCCCCGGGGGCGGCTCGGGGTCCCGGGGGGGCCCGGGGGGGGGGGCAGGAGGTCCTGGGGGGGCTCTGGAGGGTCCCCCTGTCCCACCACCCACCCACAGGTTTGGTTCTCCCCCGTCGCTCTCATCAGCCAGGTGACCCACAAGGGGGGTGGGACCACCTGAGTGACCCCCCCAGGGGGGTGGGACCACCTGAGTGACCCCTCTGAGGGGTAGGACCACCTGAGTGACCCCCCAGGGGGGTGGGACCACCTGAGTGACCCCCCAGGGGGGTGGGACCACCTGAGTGACCCCCCCGAGGGGTGGGACGGAGTCCTGGAGTCCTGGGGGGTCCTGGGAGGCTCCAGAGGGTCTGGGAGGCTCTGGAGGGTCCCCACATCCCCCCACCCCGATGCTGATGTGGTGCCCCCTCCCCAGCTGGGGGTGGAGGGGGATCCCCGGGGGGGGATGTTTGAGGGTCTCGGGGGGTCCCCCCGTGTCCCCCCCTGACCCCTCGGGGTCTCCCCCAGGCCAAGACGAAGGGGAACAACGTGAGTTTGGGGGTGAAATACGCGGAGAAGCAGCAGCGGCGCTTCCACCCCGAGAAACTGCGCGAGGGCAGGAACATCATCGGGCTCCAGGTGACACCGGGGACAACTGGGGGGACACTCAGGGACACCTGGGGACACCTGGGGACAATTGGGGACAGCTGGGGACAGTTGGGGACACGAGGGGGACACCTGAGGACGGGGGGACACGGGGGGGACATGGGGGGGACACGGGGTGGGACACATGGGTACAGGACACAGGGAGCACGGGGGGGGTGTTGGGGGGGGTCGGGACACAGGGGGGCCCGGGAGGGTCTCTGGGGACACCCCGGGGGGGTGGCAGTGCCTTGGGGACAGTCGGTGACGCCGCCCCTGCTGTCCCCAGATGGGCACCAACAAGTTCGCCAGCCAGCAGGGCATGACGGCCTACGGGACACGGCGGCACCTCTACGACCCCAAACTGGGCACGGACCAGCCCCTGGACCAGGCCACCATCAGCCTCCAGATGGGCACCAACAAAGGCGCCAGTCAGGTGGGGACAGAGGGGACAGGGGGGACACCAACACCACGGGGACATGGGGGACAACAGGGACACTGGGGACATTGGGACACCAACATCACCACGGGGACATGGGGACAGAGGGGACAGGGGGGACACCAACACCACGGGGACATGGGGGACAACAGGGACATTGGGACACCAACATCACCACGGGGACAGAGGGGACATGGGGACACTGGGACACTGCCACTGCCTGGGGGACAACGGGGACAGGGGGACACCGACAACACCAGGGGGGACGTAGGGACATGAGGGCAGTGGGGACAGGGGGACACTGAGATTCCCTGGGGGACACACGGGGACAGTGCCACGTCTCCTTTGGGGTGCCTGTGTCCCCCCTTTGGGGTGCCCATATCCCCCCGGGGGTGCCCGTGTCCCTTTGGGGTGCCCATGTCCCTTTGGGGTGCCCATGTCCCCCCCCTGGGGGTGCCCATATCTCCTTTGGGGTGCCCATATCCCCCTGGGGGTGCCTGTATCCCCCCTTTGGGGTACCCATGTCCCCTTGGGGTGCCCGTGTCCCTTTGGGGTGCCCATGTCCCCTTTGGGGTGCCCATATCCCCCCGGGGGTGCCCGTGGCCGCCCCCCCAGCCCTCGGTTGCCCCCCTCTCCCTGCCCAGGCGGGGATGACGGCGCCGGGCACGAAGCGCCAGATCTTCGAGCCATCTCTGGGGATGGAGCACTGCGACACCATGACCATCGGGCTGCAGATGGGCAGCAACAAGGGCGCCTCGCAGACGGGCATGACGGTCTACGGGCTCCCGCGCCAGGTCTACGACCCCAAGTACTGCGGGGGCCCCGAGCTCTTCGGCCACGACGGCTACGACGGCCACGACGGGCTCTACAACTCCCAGTAACCGCTTCCACCCCCGCCCCGCCCCGAGCACCGCCCCACGCAGCACCGGCCGCACCCGAACCCGCCCCGGGGCCGGACACGGGACCCGCCCCGCGGGGATCGGCCCCGGGAGGGAATCGGCTCCAGGATCAGCTCCGGGATCAGCCCCGGGGAACCGGGACCAGCCCCGGGATCAGCCCTGGGATCGGTCCCCGGGGGGATCAGCCCCGGGATTGGCTCCAGGATCGGCCCCGGGGCACCGGGACCAGCCCTGGGA